AGTGAGATGTTTCATATTTCACGAACGAGGGTCTCGAAACAGTACGTCTTGCCGACAGCTTGTCCCCGTGCATTTGTTCATGTTAGATATTGGTCATAGATTTAAGTTGTTTAGGTTTCTTGTATGATATGACCAATAATGTAGCTTTTAGTGTTGCTTTTGTGCCTATATATAGATGCCTTATAGGTTGTAATAGGGGTGGCCAAGAAATAAATTTTTTTGAATTTGGCTCTCTCCCTCTCCTGTTCCCTCCCACAAGAAACTAAAGAGGAAGTGCTTCTTCCTCTAGAGTAAGATTCTACACTTCCCTTCTTCCTTCTTCAATCGGGCAGTGTCGTAGTGAGCAGTCCGTCCTTGAATCCTAGAAGGTAGGATCTAGCATTGCATTGATTTGGATTTCCTTTGTTGTTTTCAGTTTTTATGTATCAAATTTTTTCCTTGTATTTTTTGTTGAGGTTTAAAGAAAAATGTTGGCCATATTTGGGTCGTGATCTTTCCCATCTATAAGATAATTGTGTTTCTGTTTTCTGGTGAGGTATGATATCAACACCATTATTAACTTGAGGACTCTAAAGAATCTCATTTTGATGAGTTCGCTTAGAACATTGGGCCTTAATATAATTGCTTGCCTCATTAGATTGACTCAAAAGGACACATGAATACAATTTTATCATCATTATAATGCTCTTTTTACCATCATAATTATTTAGGTAACATATCAATATGAAATAAGCTAAGAATTTTGAATTGAGTAAAATGCTTTTAGTTTTTTTAATGTTTAGGACTGCTAGGAATCATCGTGCACCCTTGGACAAATTTTTATTTAATGTCATAATTGTCTTTATGCTTCAAATGAATTCTACATATTTTAGGTAATTCAACTTTGCACAAAGATTATGGAAAAATATTTTAAGAAGGCATCACAACCTTGTATAACAACACCAATGGAGGATTAAAAAATGAATGATCATGATGAACAAAATAAAAAAGGAAATCAAACAAATGATGAATCGTAAAAAAGCAGGGAACCAAAGAATCTTCAATCAAATCCTAGATTGCGTATTCCTATTTTTGATTTTATTTTTAACATTCGTGATCAAATTCGAAGATCATATTTGCAAAATGGTTATTATCAGCCTCACAATCATGACTTTCCAAAAAGTAAGTTTAGAATCAAAGATAAACTTTTCAATCTGAGATGGTTTGATAGATACTTTAGTTGGTTATAGTATACTATTCAGAAGGATAAGACATACTGTTTGTATTGCTAACTTTTTGGGGTAAAAGGAATAGGAAAAGAAGAATATGAAGCATTTCGCAGAAATGTATTCTCGAATTGAAAAAAATCTAATAGGTTTGATCTTTAAATAGGAGGACCTAGTAGTGCTCATAATAATACAATGTTAAATTATAATAATTTAATGAAACAATATCAACATATTAACTTTGTCTTGCAGATGCATTCTGATCGAGTTACAAATACATATCGTGTGCATTCAACAAAGAAAATTTAATTAGAATGACAAATTTATATCCAAACGATTTCACTATTTCAGATTTGATAATTCTTGATAATCAGTTAGAAACTTATATTATGAATATGCAGTTTGATATTCAATTTTCATTGTTGAAAGATATATGAAGTCTTGCTGAGAAAATGATTCAAAGCAAGAAGGAAATGTCATATCCCATTGTTTTTAGGCTATTGAAGCTGGCATTAGTACTACATGTGAGTTGAAAGAGCATTTTCTACAATGACTATCATAAAAGGTTGACTACGCAATCGAATTGAAGATCTGTGGATGAATGATACTTTAATCGCATATATTGAAAAATAAATTTTAGATTATATTGACAATGATGTTATTATTCAATTTTTTCAAAATATATAGAATAGACTTATAAATTGTAAGTGTACTTTGTCTTATATTTAGTGGGTTTAAATAAAAAAAATCTAAAACTGTCAATATCTGTCCCAAGCAAGGATGAAAAAAAGTTTAGGGGATTAAAAAATAAACAGTTTGGCCCCCTCTACAAATTTTTTTTGGCTCTACCACTGCTTAGAGCTGAATTCTCCCAAGATGAATGTTGTTGAAGTTTAATAAATTTTATAGTTATAAATTACATTACGTGATATATTTTTATTTTCTTAATAAAACACTAATTTATGTGGCGTTTTATAAAAGTATCACATAGATTAGCTTTTTTTTAAAGAAAATATCAAGTAATTTGATATTTTTGTTCTTTTTAAAATTTTTAATAATCACTCTCTTTTTACTGAATTAATTTATAATTAGACGCCTTTTTTTAAACTTTACCTAAAAATATTCAAATTGAGTTTTTTTTTTTTTTTAAATATTGGTTAAATCGGATGTATCTACTACAAAATAATGTGGAATTTAAATTTACGGTACATGTGAACGATTTAAAGGCTTATATATTTTTCTTCTCTTTTTTTAAAAAAAAAAATATTTTTTAATATATATCCCTCCTATTTTTTATAATTATTATTTCAATATATGTCCCTTGTCTTTTTTTTTTTTAATTATTTTTAATATATGCCCCTTTTCTTGATATAATAGCAGGCTGAAAATTTGTAAGCTCAGTTCCTTTTTTTCCTTTTCATTCCAGACCTCCATTTTTTTCGAGATTCTAAGATTTCATTTTTGACAGTTTTTTTATCATTTTTTAAACAGTTTTTTTAATAAAAAAATTGTTCCAAGCCAAACCTAAATTTAGAAAAATAAAATTGCAATTTTTAATTTCAAGATTTGCAAACCATTCAAAGATTCCGTCCCAGCTAACATTCTCACCTTCTGGATTCCAGACAAAAGCCGAGCAGTTCGCTGTTCAGCTTCCTTCTACTGTATATTTCTCTTTTCTAAATTTGAAACAGCGTGTATCTATCGCTAATTGTGAAGCCGTCACACGTACAGAGAGAGGGAGAGTCGGAGAGAGATGGCGCCAGTAACATTCCTACCGACGGCTGTGACGGAGGAGAAGACGCTTATAGAGAGCTTTGTACGGGATGAGGACGAGCGGCCGAAGGTGCCCTACAACAAGTTCAGCCATGAGATTCCGGTGATCACGCTACAGGGGATCGATGCAGAGGGGGGAGATGGAGGTCGGAGGTCGGATATTCTCCGTCAAATTGTGGCGGCGTGTGAGGACTGGGGCATCTTTCAGATCGTCGATCACGACGTGGACGCCGGGCTCATGGCTGACATGACCCGCCTAGCCCATGAGTTCTTCGCGCTGCCGCCGGATGAGAAGCTCCGTTTCGATATGTCCGGCGGGAAGAAGGGCGGCTTCATCGTTTCCAGCCATCTCTAGGTATGGCTTAGGGCATCTCCAACCGAAAACTTCATTTTTCACGGCAAAGTAACGCAAAACTCCAAAATGGCACAGTGATGCTCCAATCGAACGCCATTTTAGATGTTTTTGAGAAGGTAACGATCGCTCTCCCTTTCGCGCGTTTTTCAATATTGGCGTCGCACTGTTCACCTGCGATTAAATGGCAGAAATTTTCGCATTCGGTTGGAACGACGGAACGACTTCATACACTCGTTTAGCGTTCAGTTGGAGATGCCCTTAGTTAGCCAGTTGGCCCTATTTTTTCCATGTTTTTTCTTTGTTGTTTTGCATGACAAATTTAATACTGCTATCCGATCATTGTCGTCGGATTGCCGTTGCCCCAATATCGCCAATTGGTGCAATATTCGTCCTAAGAAATTCATGAAATTTCCGTTGATTATCATTAATTTTAATTGATTAGTAACTATATATAAGTCTCAAAGTATTTAAGAGAGCTTTGAATAAGTCAAGAAGTGGATTGGAGAATTGAAATTCTAAGTCATCAAAACTGTATTGTGAGCATCTCAGTGTTGGGATTAGCAACGCCACAGCATTGTGTGATTAAAAAAAAAAAGGTAAAGGAAATTGAGTGTCAGATGCAATGCCAGGAGACGCGGCCTCAGCACTCGGGCTTGAATGACATGATTCTGGAAGAATCTAGAAGATTCTCTAGAATCGCTAGAGAGTTGAACGTACGGCTTTGCAATATGTTAGATTCTAGCCCTACTTATTGAAAACAGGTGAAAAGATTATGTGACACTGTTATGTTCTAATTATGATCTCACTTGTCACATATAGGTGTGGGAGGTTAAAGAGAGGCATTAGTGAAAGTTCAATTATAAGCAAGTATCGAGATGTGTTCATTTTAATCATTGTATTACATACATATAAATGAATATAGTATGTGATGTTATGAATTGAGTATTTAGTAATTCATGAATTTTAGTATAAACTTATATGAAATATGAAAGTCAAGTATAAGTAAACTTCTGATAGAAAGTGTTTTGTGATGTATCTGGAAAACTTCTATAATAGTGATTCTGTAAGTAGTAATGACCTCAGGCATACATTAAAACTACAAAAAAACAATTTCTACTAATACCATATTTACTCTTTACATTTATTTAATTTCATTGAGATTTAAATTGATATATATCTATAATGGGTTAGAGTAAGAAGTCTATTGTGCTAGTTGTACCCATTATTTGCTTTCTGATATTTCAGAGAAAGGAAAATGTCCAGCAAAGTAGATCAATAAGGCGTAGAAGCTAGATCTTCTGAGTCTAAATGTAAAATACCATTTTGTAACCCAACATTTAATCATTTTGATGTATAGACTATCTTGATCCTGATTAATATATATATAAATTTTGATTAAATGAAGTATATTTGTACTGCTTTATTATTTAGATTTGGTTATTAATTTTTGTTAATTGTTTAGTAATTATAGGTTTTAATTGAATTTCAATCCTTCTATTATGCCCTAGGTCATCAAAAAGTAGTATAAGAGTAACAATTTGAAAGGATAGGATTGTAATCAAAGTTATAAGAAATGATTTGTATCAGTAAGAGGAAGAAGTAGGGAGTTTAGCCTAAGCATTTTATTTTTTGGTGTGTTTTAAGATATACGTAAGAATTTTTGGGTAGACATGTAAATCACATTTTATAACTGTTCGGCAATATGGCCGAGAGACAATGCAGGGTGAAGTAGTCCAAGATTGGAGGGAGATCGTCACCTACTTCTCCTACCCAATCCACGCCCGCGACTACACGCGCTGGCCGGACAAGCCCGAGGGGTGGCGAGCTGTCGTTGAAGAGTACAGCGCCAAGCTAATGGAGCTGGCCGGCAATCTCCTCAGCGTGCTCTCAGAGGCCATGGGCCTTGACCGTGAAGCGCTCACCCAAGCCTGCATCGAAATGGACCAGAAATTGGTCGTTAATTTCTACCCAAAGTGCCCGCAACCTGATCTCACGCTAGGCCTCAAGCGCCACACCGACCCCGGCACCATCACCCTCCTGCTTCAAGACCAAGTCGGCGGTCTCCAGGCCACTAAGGACGGCGGCGCAACCTGGATCACCGTTCAGCCAGTGCAAAATGCCTTCGTTGTTAACCTCGGCGACCACGGTCATGTAAGTATCTCACGCTTATATTATTTTAAAATTTTGATTGAACCATTTGTCGAACACTTAGTGTGCGTATGTGAATTTGCAGTACTTGAGCAACGGTCGCTTCAAGAACGTGGACCACCAGGCGGTGGTGAACTCAAACTGCAGCCGGCTTTCGATCGCGACGTTTCAGAACCCAGCGCCGGACGCCGTAGTTTATCCTCTCGCGGTGAGGGAAGGGGAGAGGCCGGTGATGGAGGAGGCCATCACATTTGCGGAGATGTATAGGAGGAAGATGAGCCGAGGCCTGGAGCTCGACAGGTTGAAGAAGTTGGCCAAGATGGAAAACAAGCAGGAGGGAGCAGCAGGACAAAATGCTTAGACCATTGGCGCGGCTGCAACGAAGCCGAAGGGCTTAAATGAAATTCTAGCTTAAATTAATACCATTTGCCTTAGGATTCAAGTGCTTTCACCCATAGATATGTAAGCGTCATGCACGAATCTCAAAGACATTGCTAGTTGCTATCCATCGAAGTCGAATGAATGCTCTATATTTATTTATGTGTTGTGGTATTTGTCATTTGTTTGCCTTGAATAAAAGCGTGTGGTATTTGACTTAATGAGCAGTTTAGCCAGGGCCGCAAACGAACTGAGCCGAGCTGAGTACGTGAGTGTTCATGTTTGTGTTCATTTAATAACAGCTTGTTCAAGTTTGGTTCATGTTTGTTCGAGCTTTATTGTTTGTGTTCATGTTTGGTTCATTTAAATTAATGAGTGTTCATGTTCAATTCATTTTCATTCGTTTAGTGCTTATCGAACTTGTTTGCGAACATATTTAACGAATTTTTTTAACTATCAAACAAATACGTTCATTGAACATATCTTTGAACAAACACATTTATAATAAAAACAATTGTCTATGTAACAAAGGGAATGATTATTTATATTTATTAATTTTATAGTCAAATATTAATTATTTTTATCTAGCTTATTCACGTGTTCAAAATCGACACAAATCAAGCTTTTATCGAGCTTCTTATCGAGCTTAATGTCGAGCTTGTTCACGAACTTCAAATGATATTATTCGCGAACATAAATGAGTTGAACGCATTAGTGTTCAAGTTTGTTTATTTAAGAATCGAGTATTTAAAATATTGTTCGAGTTTGTTTGTTTAGCTAATTAAACGATCACAAACGAGCTTTAATCGAACCGAACAACGAGTAGCTCGTCAAACGTTTGATTCGCTTGTAGCCCTAAGTTTTGGTCAGCATTAATGCAACATCCTAAGCTATGGCCATTTTAAGTTCAGCAAGTATTAAAAGCATCGTACTACAACAATAACAGTTGGTAGGCTCCTAAGCACAAAGCTGACAATTTTTTCTTTTAAATATTAAATATTATTAATCCTATTAGCTCATACAACAACAACAACAACACTTTGTCTCACTAAGTGAAGTGGGCTACATGAATTTTTTTCTTCATTGTGTCATGTTAAAAATCAATTTCTTGTTTAAATATAATAAAGAAGGATCATTTCTAATATTTTATGACCAAGTCTTTTTAGATGTATCTCTATCTTTCTTAACATAAATCAAATCCAATACCTCTATTTTCTAACCAGGTCATCGGAAGGCTGACATTTTATATGACCAAACCATCTAAGAAGACTCTCTAATCTTATCTTCTATTAGCACTACTCCAACCTTTTCACAAATCCTATGAGCTCATGATGTGATAAATTTATTTTGTTGATAATAAATATATAATTAAAGGTGTAATTTTTTTAATTAATAGGAATTTTATTATATATATAGATGGTTTTTAATTAATCCATTTTAATATATATATATATATATATATATATATATATATAAGTTTGGATGTTCTCCAACAAGTTATGTATTTATGAGTTTTTAGTCATTTGATGCACCTCATAAGGCACAAATCTAGCATAAGTTTGGCCCCTTATTTAAATTTTCGATCAAGATTTATAAGGTTCTTATGGATGATCTGATTCATGATTATTATTAAAAATCTTTTAATCAAGTTTAGTAAACATCTCCTTTGATTGATTATATCATGATCCATGATAATCTAAGATGATAGAACCATGCAAGTTTTGATCGAGTCTCCAACAAAAAGATTTAAATTAACGATCGTATATTAGCTTTTGTCATTATTTAAATTAGTGATACTAAATTAAGTATTATAGTGTCTACAAACCAGCATTAATTAGAAGTTCTTTTTCAAGACTGAGATGGATAATTAATCAATGGGGCATGCATGTATAAAATATCTCAAACAATCTAATAAGGTATTCTTTGATCAGTGAAATCTTTCTATATAGCTTATTTATGATCTAGTATATATTCTAAAAAACAACCTAAAATCATTCATATATGTATTAAAAGCGTTGAATGAAAAAATTTTAAAGCCCGCACACCCTCTCCCTTCTTATTTGATTGTAGTAGTGGGATGCATGTAAAATCGATTTTTTCATGTTTTTATGGTTCAAATGAGTTGAAATATATGAATGATTAAGTGCGAATGAAGATAGATAATCACTATCTAAGAAAATCATTTGTAATGAATCCTAAGTTGATAAGCACCAACCTTTAAAAAATGTAGTATGAATGAATATTGAGTTTAGTAGGCATAAATCTTCAAATTAATACTAAATTTTATTCTAGGTAATTTAGGCTTCACCATTAACAACAATGTTCTTATACTAACGTTGACAAAAGAGTACCATTATGCTCTTCGTACCATTGCAGACTATCTTTTGAACAAAGACATGCTTATTAATGTGTATGTGAAAAATGCGAGGATTGATAAATGAGTTTTTTTTTTCTTAAACATGTGTATTCATTCTTAAATTTTGTTATGAGCTAGAACATTTATAGTAGTAGATAATGATTTGATATATTAGCTTTGTACGAAAATCTATTACTAGCATAAAGATGGTTTTAAGGGACATAATGTTTTACACGAAAAATTAGGAAATAAAAAATGCCTGAGGTCTACTTTAAATGAAATGATTTAGTTAGTGTTGGTTATAAATGATGCCATTCCTCATCATGGGATAATGTGATGTAGATTGTAGTTGACATATATTATTCATGATGGAATAAATGGTGAAAGTTTTGGTGGGAATGATGATGAGTAAACAACACAATGATGAAACAAGCAAGAAAGTAAAAGCAATAGAAAAGTAAACGACATTGGGATTTAACGTGAAAAAAAATTCAAAATAAGGAAAGGACAATGGAGCCACACCAAGAAATTCATCATGAAAATTGGGAGAAATAAGTACAGATATCTCTTCTCTCTCACTGTCTCCTAACTACTTCTCTTCTCACATGCACCGCTCTCAATGTCTACATACATAAAATACAAGAGTAAGTCAAGTAAAATAACCCCAATCGATGCAACCCTTCAGAAAAACGAGAAAGAAAACTGTCCAGTCTGTCTCGCAAAGCCAGTTTATTGCGTTTTGCAATGCTCAAGCCTTATTATTGCACCACTTCAACATTGTATCTATACCGCTGCGACGCTATGCTCTCCGAGACAACATAACAAAATGATTGATCAACACAATCATATTCCATACATAAAAAGTTTGAGGAGTCTCGAGACATTGGAGTTTTTTTTAAGAGATTAATTATGGTATATATAGTCATTTTTCTTTGATAAGAGGAGGCTAAAGACCAAAAAGTTTAATATAATATTGGGGTTGAAATTGGGAATTAGAGTTAATGTCATCATTGTGCATTGACTTTATTAGTGATGTCGTGCATTGGTGTGTTGTGAATATTATTAATCATTTTTGTCCTAAAAATTAATATATTAGAGAAAGTACTTTATCCAAAAAAAAAAAAAATCATTTTTGCTCTAATTTTATCACTTGAGCATGCTTGCCCATCCCACCATCCGAATTACTCTCACTTCTTAGTTCGCAACCGCGTTTGAGAACTCCTCTTCCCAATTGCATTCGACATTACCACCTTCGTTTTCGCAGCCCTCTCACAACCTTCTTCTTCGTAGTTACAGCCCTTGTCTTCGCGGCCTTCTCCCTGCCTCCATCTTCGAATTTTTGCAGATGCAGCCTTCGGCCTTAAGCTGGTTTGAAGAGGTCGCCATTCTCGCAGGCCGCATGTTTTATCTTCGCAGAATCGTAATCGCTGCCTTCAGTACTTGTTCTCGTATTGAAGGCAACTTTTATCTAGGGATTATTTTGATGTTTTGGCACCTCCCTAGTCCCTACTACTCCACTTGCTCTATTTTTTGCTTCTATTTTTTTCTTATCTGCATATGGAAAAATTTCTAATGAACCGTTTGTTCACTCTTAGGGTCTGTTTTGCAACAAGTGGGATATAACTTTAATTGGATTTGGTAAATCTCGAGGGTAATAAATCCTGAAAAATTATTTGGTATGATAAATATTAAATCCTCTTAAATCCTAAAAAAATTAGTTGGTAATATATTTTAGAATTTATGACATTTAAGGATTTAAATGTGAAGAAGATAATTATAAATTTAAGATAATTGCATACAACATAAAAATACAACTTAAATTCATATAATATAATTGAAAAATCAATAAAGAGCACATGCCAAACTAATATTGATTAGTTAATTATTTTTTTGAAAATATAAATGATTTCAATGATACTTATAATAATGATTTAATTAATTAATTAAAGATTAAACTAATCTAATTACAATTATCCTACTAATAGGTATAATAACCAATAAATTACAAATATAAATTAAACTAATTTAATGATAATTATACTACTAATTATTCAATTAAATTAAATTAGATTATTTAATTATACTACTAAAAATACTACTAATTATTTAATTAATCTAATTAATTATTAATATGTAAATTATGTTATATGATTTGTAAATTATTAATGATAATTATACAACTAATTATTCAATTTAACTAATATAATGATTATTTTTAAAGAAGTTTGTATAAACTACTACTATCATCAACTCGAGAACATCGAGAACAATGGTGAGGATGATATAACCAAATTAGATCGCGTTTGAGCTGTTGGAGCCATGTCGTTTAGATCAATGGTTTGGATGACATCAAACAGACGATGGAGATGACGAAGCCTCTCCCACAGTTCTAATGATAGATAGAGTGACATTATCTGAGCCCTTGTTTATAAAACATGGGATATCAACAACTTGGATCATTTCTTTTCCAAGCATTAGGGTTGAGAAACCCTAGTCACTCAATCAAATGGGCTAAAATTTGAAACAGAGCCCGCTCAAGAATAGATCAAGAGTAGGGTGGTTTTTATATAGCTTAATATGTAGCGTATAAAAGTTATTTAAATAGTTAGATGCCAATGAGGAGTTTGATAAATACCTTAATAGAAAGCTTTCTCATAGGCTGTTTGTGGATATTCTTGGCCCTTGAATCTTCTAGCACAAGTTTGCTGAAGGGTCAAGGGCTGAGGAAATTTTGATTGCAAATGAATTGAGTAGGACCGAAATGGCCTTGAATTGTCGGAATCTGTCCGTCGGCGACATTTGATTGGTGGATTTTTACTAATTATAATATTATTTATTAAATTACTTGCTATATGTTAATCTAATAAGTATTGGATATCTAATTATATTAATAAGTATATAATTAATAAGTTAATTATTAATATTTTTAATTATATTACTTTTTTTTTTTTGGACATTTAGGCCATTTAAGGCAAACTCACACACACAACGCAAATACATAAACTCGAATCCTGAACCTCTTAGTTGGAACTCAACCAATAAGTCAAGGAGAGTTGTGTAATTATATTACTTAAGTTAATCAATAATAACTTAGCGGCGTGTAGGGTTTGCCTTACATCTTCTCTTTTCGTCGTTGCTGTTCGGCTTCGTTGCTGCAGATTGCACGAGTCATTGCTTCGGCTCCTTCGTTGCTGTTCGACTTCTCTCCTTCGACGACTTTCCCTTCTTGTCGGATCGGAAGTTACCACATTTTGATCGGAAGCAACGGGAGCTCGCTGGCTGAAGGTAACTTTCTGTCTTTCTCCCTTTCGATCGCTTCTTCGACCAAAATTCCGTAAATCCGCCGAGCTAGAGGATTTAGTAAATCCGGGATTTACGGAAAAAAGAGGGAAACGGAGGGTTTATTCCGCCGTGAGATTTACGGGGCGATCAAATCCCGTTTGGCAGGATTTGGCATAAATCCTGCTCAAATCTTGCATATTCCGTTGTGGTTAATTTGTTGATTGAAAGTTCCTAATTATAAGTTCAATTCATCATTTTAGGTTGGAAGTAGCAACATTATAAATTTCAAACTACTATTTTGTTAAGATAATTTTAATGTGTTTGATTGTAAGTTTATTTTAGAACATTTTGTGTGGAACTGAAATTCTTATATTTATCAGGTTCTTATAAATTATTGTTGATTTTTAACTACAACCAAGCAAAGCTTGAGAGCTAGGAATTTTCATCATATTGTGAAGTATGTTTTCGGTTTACAAAACAACCAAAAATGCCCTTATTCCGAATGCAGTCTTATCAGAATTTGGTATCACTGGTGCTTAAAGTATCTATTATAACAATGCAAGTGAAGGGGAAAAAGATGTTTGAGAAGTTTGGTTATATTTTTGCTGTTTGGTTACAAGTAGGATTTGGTTATATAGGGAGAATTGTGAGAGTATTACATGTTGAATATAAAATAGTGAAAAGAAATTTAGGTACTTTAGGCATGCACAATAAAGATTACAACATGCATCAATAAGGCATGCACATAAAGATCTTCCAGACATAATCAAATTTCTTCTTATTGCATATCACTAAAAATTACAAACACAGGTAGGCATAAAGGTTTTCAATAATCATTACTGCCTCTAAAAAAACCATTCTCTAATAATCATGCAAAATATAACAAAGCTAAGTAACCCAAAAACATTCTCGGATATACCATCAAACTTTTAGCAAGAGACAAAAAATCTTGCTATTATTGCATTGATGATTAGGGAATTAGGTGCAACAACATAGCTTCAAGAGTAATGAGCAAGCACAAGGAATGATGGTTGAAATGGAGAAATGCATTGGGCCTGTTGTGTGATAGAAAAGTACCCCTCAAACTTAAGAGAGTCATCTTAGATGGTTTGGGTCACATAAAACGTCGGCCATCCGATGACCCGATTGGGAGAGTAGATGTATTAGATTTGACTTATGTTAAGAAAGTTGAGGTAGATCTAAAAAGACTTGGTTAGAAAGTATTATAAATAATAGATTTTATTAGATTTAAATGTGATATTGACTCTTAAAAGGACACAATAGAAAAAAATGATTCATGTAGCCGACTCTAAATAGTGCGATTAAGGCTTGATATTGTTGTTATATTCATAATTCTAAGATTTTAACTAACCTAATAACTTTCAAATAAGTATATTCTTATTAGGAATTGGAGTAAATATGCTATCATTTTTTAAGTGGTTAGAAACCTATACCAAAATTTAATTAGGTGGGCAAAGCCAATGGATATATATTGTTGGCATAAGACCAACAACGACATCAACAAGCCTTTGTCCCACTAGGTCGGCTACATGAATCCTTTTTCTCCATTGTGGGCATAAGACCAAATACATATATTAATTCTACATTGGATATAGAGAAATTCATTAGTGCTACGTCTGCTGAGATTGATGCCCGAGGCTTTTAGTTTTAAATTTAAGTATACCACTTAAGTAAAGGCTCTCTAGAAAACATACTTTGTCTTCTCAACACTCGGCTCGATTAGGTATTGCAAGCTTCAATTTATTTTGCGTTTTTATAAATCCAATCCATACAAAAAAGATAAACCGAACCAAAATTCTAGAGGACTCATATAGCCGACCCCACGTTGTGGGTTTAAGGTTTGATGTTGTTGTTGTTGTAGTATTCTTAATTCTAAGATTTTAGCTGACCTATTAACCTTCAAATAAGTATATTCTTGTTAGGAATTGGATTAAATATGCTCTCTCTTTTTGAAAGGTTAGAAATCTATACCATACTTTAATTAGGTGGGCACAAGCCAATGCATATATATTGTGGGCATAAGACCAAATACATATATTAAATCTATATTGGATATGGAGAAATTCATTATAGCTACGTCTGTTGAGATTGATATCTGAGACTTTTTTTGTTTTAAATCTGAGTATACTGCTTGAGCAAAGGCCCTTTAGTAAATATATTGTCTTTTCAACACTCTTATGACTTGATTAGGTCTTGCAAGCTTCAATTTATTTTGCATTTTTATAAATCTAGTCTTTCAAGAAAATAAAAGTGTTGACACAAAAAAAGTTGAACAAGTTAGATGAACTAAAATTTTGCATTTCCTCTCCCCCCCCCCCTAAGTGTTGACACAAAAAAAGTTGAACAAGTTAGATGAACTGAAATTTTGCATTTCCTCTTCCCCCCCAATACACACACCCAAAAAAAAGTAAAAATGTCGCTTTAGATTGTTTTATTACCAAGGAATGACATTTTTCTTTATTCGTGCTTGTTTTTACAATTTTATTCATCATAGGGAACTTAAAGTTAAAGGTTCAAATTATTACTTAATGATTCCTTAGTTATCTCTTTCCATTCTTCTTCTTGTGTATTAACCTGTCCTTTTTAATTGGCACAACTTTCATTAGTGCATGCGAGGGTGGTGGTTTGCATCGCATGCTTACACAGGATCTCGTTTGTGCTCGTTTATGCGAGCTCATTTGTTGAATATTGGACCCCTTGTAGAACAAAATGATTGTGTTTATAACTTCCCATATTTACTTAGGTTGCAGCCCAAACATGCACGCTTGGATTGGATGCCACCCATATTTGCATCTTTGGTGGGATGCAAACCATGCATGATTTCTAGGGTTAGATACATCAATTTTTTTCCTGATCAAATAAGTCCCTTCAATGTTGATGGTTTTATTATCATGCTTTGTGCTCTCTTTAGCTTTAAAGGTCAAAAAAAGGCCTCCTGAGCCAAGAAGAAATTTAAAATTAACATTTCGTTGGTTAGTTAGGTAAGGGATCTCACATGAGATTGAGATTGTGTGATTTCACATGTGATATATGATAGGAAGTGATGCAGAATTTGTGAAATATCTTGGCTGAATTTACAATTTCAGTAAAATAGAAATCGGTAACAAGTAAACGAAGAAGAAGAACATTCAAGAATACATTTTATTGGATTATATATGAAAGAAAAGACAAACAAGATGGTTACGCCAGCCCAGGAGGGGCCGGCTGGACCGGTCCAACCAGGACCGGTCTGGTTCTACACCCGGCGGCCCAGAAGCCAAGCGGAACCAGGAAGAGGGGGGGCGGAAGCTTTGGTGGGCCCATGCATGAGTTAAACACATTGTTTGGAGAGAAATTTTGAATTAGAAGGGTTTTTAGGGAATTTGTATCCCTCCTTTAGCTCTAATTAGAGAGTAATGATAGAAATAGGTTTTGATCTTGAATTTGAATTGGATTGGAGATCTAGAGTTCTTGTCTTTTGGGCTCTTGACGTTGCCGGAGATTTGGAGACTTGATCTTCCTCTCAAATTGAAGAACAATTATATCGTTGTTATTTTATTTCATTCTCTAGTGGAATACAAGTCTTGCATTGAGTTTTCTCTCATATTTCCCTGGATTTGTGCTGTGTTTTTCTGCTGTAAACAGCATTTTGCTGCTGTGGACAGCAGTATTTCCGCTGTTTGATCACCGATTTGGGTTGGGGTTGCTTGCGAACTCAAGTATTACCTTAGGGTTACTTGCGAACTCAAGTATTTCCTATCAAATTGGTATCAGAGCATCGATTTGGGACCGTCGGCGGTTGAAATCCTGAAATTTCAACGGAAATTTTTTTTATCGGAAGAAGATCTTTGTGATTCTTGGGAAGATAGATGGCTGGAAAGAATGTAGAAGTACCGGAAGGCGAGATCGGTTAACTAAAATCAGATTTGAAGGATTTTTTTTTTTATTTTCAAAACCAAATCACCTCCAATATTGAAAGAATAGAAGGAAAATTCACAGTGATGGAAAAGATGTTGAAGAAACTGCTGGAGTTGAAGACCAATCCTACGACGTCGGAAGCAAGAGAGACCACCGGAGGCCATGGCGTAGGAGGAAAACCGAACCCGTTTAGGGGTAGGAGAAATCCGGAAGTGGAGATCATTGAGGGAGAGGACGACATGCCACCTCTAGAGCCACTCTTTGGAGAGGAGATGAGTTTGAGAAATGACCGGAGGGGGGACTGATTTCGCCAGGAGAAGGTAAGAATTTCATCGCCGAGGCGCTGATTTTGAAGGGAGAAGAAGTGAATACGATGAAGGGTTCGGGATTTATCATCGGAGGGAAGATCATGACAGTTGACGAGCACCTCCTTTTCGAGGAATGGGAGGTTATGGAGGATTCAATGGACACGTGGGAGACTCATGGGTGAGGAAGCTGAAGATGCCTGCCTTTGAGGGTGAAGACGGCCATGGCTGGATCTACAAGGTGGAGCGTTACTTTGCTGTTATCGGGTTAACATAGGAAGAGAAGCTAACAGCAGCGGGATTGTGTTTGGAAGGAAAAGCCTTGGCATGGTATCAGTGGCGTGACAGGAGGGAGCCCATCCGGAGCTGGAGAGATGTCAAAGATTGCTTATTAGAGCGTTTTTGAGCCGATGGGGGAGGAGACTTACACGAACAATTCTTTTCCCTGACTCAGGAAGGGACTGTGGCAGATTACCGGGACAAGTTTGTGTATTTGGCTAGCAGATTGTATCATATTTCAAAGTCAGCCCTAGAAGGGAACTTCATGAAGGGGCTTAAACCTGAGATACGAATAACAATCAGGGTGTTGGAGCAGAGGAACTTAGGGAAGACTATGGAGCTGTCGCAGTTGGTGGAAGATCAAAAGAAATCATAAAGAGGAGCTCGAGGGAACTATTCAGGGGGATCATACAAGATGACTTTCACTTTCTTACCATCAAAAGGGGCAGCGACAGGGAGTCTGAAGGAAGCGCCAAATGAGAAAATTGGAGGGGGAAATGTGGGACAATTCAAAAAGCTGACATAGAAGGAGATGCAGGATAAGAGGCAAAGGGGTTGTGCTTCAGATGTGATGAGAAGTACATGTCGGGGCATAGGTGCAACCTTGTCTGTGAAGACGAGGAAGACGAGGAGGGAGGTGGGAGTAGATCTGAAGAGGAGGAGAAGTTGCACCTGGATGTGACAGAAGTCTCTCTGAACTCTGTAGTGGGATTCACTCCGAGTCACACTATGAAAATGAAAGGAGAGATAGTTGACTGTGAGGTGGTGGTGTTGATTGACAGTGGGGCAACCCACAATTTCATTTTCACCCAGATCGTTGAGCGGTTAGAGATGAAGTTAGTGGATACAGGAGCCTATGGGGTGATGATGGGCATGGGAAAGGTGGAAATGGGTAGAGGAGTTTGTAGAGGGGTAGTGCTGAAGATTCAGGGGATCCAGGTGAGGGAGGACTTCCTTCCCTTAGAATTGGGGAGTACTGACGTCATCCTAGGGATGAAGTGGCTACAAACATTGGGGGAGACCAAGATCAATTGGGGGACATTGAGGATGTAACTGGTGATAGGAGGAAGAAGGAGGACGATTCAGGGTGATGCTGGGCTGATCAAGGTTGAGATATCTCTCAAATCTATGATCAAATCTATACAGGAGGTGGGAGGTGGATATCTGGTGGAGCTGCAGCGCTTGGAGAGGGTTAGTGTGGGGGATGAGGGAGATATTCCACTAGTAGTGCAACCGCTCATACAGTAGTTCAGGGAAGTGTTCTAGCCACCTTAGGGCTTACCACCACCCAGAGAGCAGGAGTATGCAATCCTTCTGAAGGATGGGGTGTCACCAATTAGTGTTCGACCTTACCGCTACCCCCAGATTCAAAAAGATGAAATCGAGAAGGGTGTTTAGGAAATTTGTATCCCTCCTTTTTAGCCTTAATTAGGGAGTAATGATAGAATTAGGTTTTGATCTTGAATTTGAATTGGATTGGAGATCTAGAGTTCTTGTCTTTTGGGCTCTTGGCGTTGCCTGAGATTTGGAGAGTTGTTCTTCTTCTCAAATTGAAGAACAATTGTATCGTTGTTATATTATTTCATTCTCTAGTGGAATACAAGTTTTGCATTGAGTTTTCTCTCAGATTTCCTTGAATTTGTGCTGTGTTTTTCTGCTGTAAACAGCATTTTGCTGCTGTGGACAGCAGTATTTCCGCTGTTTGATCACCGATTTGGGTTAGGGTTGCTTGCGAACTCAAGTATTACCTTAGGGTTACTTGCGAACTCAAGTATTTCCTATCAAAGACATACCCCTAGCATTAGGAAAATCTCCTACTTAAAGCAAACAATAAACGACAAATACCTAAACAACCCTCCCACAAATTCCCTCTCAAATCTGCCCTATTTCCTCAATTATTTATCTTCCAAATCAGTCCTTCCAAACCCTCCCACAATTTCTTAACTAATCAGCCCTTAAATATGCTCTCTTCAATTAGAAAATATTTCCTAATTAATCCCCACTAAATTAGCCCTCAAATATTCTATATTCAATTATGAAATATCTCATAATTAATTCCCTTTGATTAAGAACCTTTCTAAATAGCTTCCTCTTGATTAGAAAACTTCTTGATTCCCTCCCAATCAAATCAGTTGGTCCATTAATACTCCCCTGCCAAGGTGCTATTTTTTTCTCAAGGTGGAACAAACAAAACTGCTATTGAAGAACTTGACTAATAGCACTGGATTGAAAAATGGACTGACACTGGGTCGAACGATTCTTGCCTCAAGCATCTTCTTGATTAATCTCTCAATCTCTTTGTTCTGGATTTGGGGATGATGGTATAGATGAACACTGATAAGCGGGATTCATTCCTTCAAGATGATAACATACTCGCGTTCCCGCGAATGATTCTACCCTTGAACTTGTTGGAACACCCCTCGATATTATTGTAGTGGTGGTAGAATCATGTTTGATTCTTCTATCTTCTCCCCATTTTTTTCTCCTCCCAAATTGTACATCTCAGCTAAAAGTCCCACTCCTTCACCCTTTCCTCTCCTTGAAAGTTGCTCCAAAGGTGGCATCTCCTCTTCTTCCCCCAACGTTTTCTTCTCTTGATCTTTCACTCTCCTTATCAGATTAGAGTTTTCTCCACTCACTTGGTCTCTGGTAGCCATCTTTCTCATCATCTCCTCCATGATGTTGGACTTCTCATCGATCTTCTCATGGATGGCTGAAAATAGCTTTTTGATATTTGAAATCTTTTCTACACAATGTGATTTCAATTACTCGATGTCCCCTTCCAATACTTCTACTTTTTTTCCAGCCATGGATGCCCCGATCAAACAACGCTGATACCAATTTGATAGGAAGTTGATGCAGAACTTGTGAAATTGCTTGGCTGAATTTACAATTTCAGCAAAATAGAAATCGATAACAAGTAAACGAAAAAGCATAACACACAAGAACACTTTTTATTGGATTATATATAAAAGAAAAGACAAGATACAGTTAGATCTTCAATTGGAGAGGAAGATTGGCTCTTCCAAATCTCTAGACGCCTCTAGAGCCCAAAGCACTCTAAAAATACTACAATTTCAGCAAATAAGACATACCCCTAATCTTAGGAAAATGTCCTACTTAAAGCAACCAATAAATAATAAATACCCAAATAACCCTCCCCCCACTCTCTCCCAAATTTGCCATATTTCCTTATAATTATTTTTCCTCTAAATCAGCCTCCAAATCTGTCCAATTCAATTAGGCAACATGTGCTAATTAATCCCCTCCAAATCAGTCCCCAAATCAGCCTTCAAATTTGCACCCTTCAATTAAAAAATATTTTCTAAGTGATCCCCTCTAAATTAGCCCCCAAATATGCTATCTTCAAATAATGAACATCTCCTAATTAATTCCCTTTGATTAAGAACCTTTCTAAACAGCTCCCTTTTGATTAGGCAACTTATTAATTCCCTCCCAATCAAATCAGCCGGTCAGATCTCCGCGTCTCCTTGAGCAAAGGTTTTGTCCTTCTACACTCGCATTCAAAGTCTTCTAAAGTCTAAATTCTCAATGGGTTTGATTGTATTCATAAAGGCTCCTCCAAGTGCTCTTGCTAAGCTTAGACATTCGTAGGAATTGAGCGTGCCGTCTATGCATCCTACGTCTCGTTGTTAGATTAGGGATTTAATTTGAAAACTACTATTCGGTATTGTTTTATTTTTCTCAATTATCTTGATAGTTCAAATTCGGAGCATGTGATTTCGCCTATGCAATTGATCGCTTCATTTGTCTTAATCGTCGTTTGAAAATTGCTTATAATTTTGTTCTGAAATTATTTTAATTCAATAGTTGTGCAATGCTCAAATGAAACCATATCCATAACATCTAAGTAGTCCTGCATCACCATCACCCAATTTGATAGGAAGTGCATCTAGAGCTTGTGAAATTCCTTTGTTGAATTTACAATTTCAGCAAAACAGAAATCGGTAACAAGTAAGCGAAGAAGAATAACACTCAAGAACATTTTTTATTGGATTATATATGAAATAAAAGACAAGATACATTTGGATCTTCAATTGGAGAGGAAGATTTGGCTCTCCCAAATCTCTTGATGCCGCTAGTGCCCAAAGCACCCTAAAAACATTTACAATTTCAGCAATCAAGACATACCCATAACCCTGTAAAATTTCCTACTTAAAGCAAACAATAAACAACAAATACCCAAACAGCCCTCCCGCTAATTCCCTCGTAAAACTGTCTTATTTCTTTAATTGTTTCCCCTCCAAATCAGCCCCCAAATATGCCCTATTCAATTAGGCAACATCTCCTAATTAATCCCCTTCAAATCAGCCCTAAAATCTGCTCTCTTCAACTAAAAAATATTTCATAATTAATCCCCTCTAAATCAACCCCCAAATATGCTACCTTCAATTAGGAAACTTCTCCTAATTAATTTCCTTTGATTAAGAACCTTTTTATACAACTCCCTTTTGATTATAAAACTTCTTAATTCTCTCCCAATCAAATCAGCTAGTCCATTAATATACTGCGATCTGACATCCAATGTATCTTGTCTACTTCACCAAATTTGTTTTGTAAGTGCTTGATTTACTTTGTATATACTTTGTTGTAAATCAAATAAGTTCCAAGTCACTGCAACTACTTCTATTTCCCTTGTCACGATCAGTCTGCAATAGGAAATGGAATCTTCATGCCCATTGATTGCTGTAGTCTGATTTGGAAGAATGGAACCCATGGATTGCGAAAGTCTGTGCTACAAAATTGTTGCAGATTTAGTTGGAAAAGCTTTAGGTCTGCACATGTGCTGTTCTCAGCTGGCTGTTATTGCCGATCTACTTTATGGCTTACAATATCTATTCTTATAATTCAATTTCTAGACAGAGAAACATGAGTTATGATGTTTTCTTGTTAGATTCCATCGAAATTATGTATATATAGATGACTAACCTGCTCTGATTGATGTGAAGAAATATTCTTCATTTCTCTCCTAATTTATTCATCTGCAAAATTAGTAGCGGAATTGTTACAGGAAAATTAGAGGTTTTGAAAGTTTTATTTGGTATTGTGGATTTGTTTCCCTTCTAAAAGTTCTCACTATATTTTTTTTAAAAATATCAAGTGATCGGTTCATCTACAGTTATCTAGTTTGCAATGTGTAGTCTGATCGCTCTTACGATGACTTAAATCATAGAAATTCATACAAAAACTAATTAGAAATCATCATTAATGGATGATCTTCTGGGATAAATACTAATTAAGTTGAAATGTGATCATTGATTGTTACAATAATTAAATTGTCTGCTTGCAGTGTTTGAGGCATCCTTGGCTATGGCCAACGATTTTTTTTTATATTTCTCCCATTTCGTTTTTTTTTTAATCTAATGATTTCTTGTACTTTTTGTAAAGCAGAATGGTTTCTTTTCTCATACAGTCTTCAATGCAGTGATTTTGGATTTTTGATAAACAAAGATCATGAGGAAGTTAAAGTTTCACGAGAAGAAACTCCTTAAGAAGGTAAATTTCTTAGAATATAAAAGAGAAAGAGGGCATCGAGAAGCTTTTGTTACTCGTCGCTACCAGCTTGTTCAAAGAGATGATTATAAGAAGTAAGCACTCTTCTACTCTATAACTATAATGGGCGAGTTCATAGAATATTTTTCTCATTAAATTACTTTACAGGGTCAGGCTTGGTGCTTTTAAACGTCAAGGCTCAAATGTTCATTTTATTTATTTATTTTTTTACAGTACTCTTTTGTAAACTCATTTCTTTTTAAATTGATCTAGGTATTCAAGTATATGTAACATGGTACAAAAGCTTGTGCACTTTTTGAAGCAGATTGATCCTAGAGATCCATATCGTATTGAGATGACTGAAGCCCTCCTGGAAAAGCTGTAAGCTTGTTCTTAGCAATTATTAGCAATTATAATTTGCTTTCAAATTTGTTAGGATTTCCATATTCTTTGCACTATCACTTTCAATTGCTGAAGTGATACAGGATTCGTTTGAGACGGCTTCCTTACTGCTTCTTAAAGCAGTTTTTTAGTTAAAAAATTAAAATTTTTTACTTGAAAGCTGCTTTAAGAAGCAAAAAAGAAAGCTGTCCCAAATGAAGCCATAATTATCCCATATTGCTGCCTGCTGTCTTTTACTTCTCTTGCTGTTTTTATGCCGAATAATTGTTCTTCTGCTTAGGTTTTTTTTTGTGTTATTCTCTTTAATTTGCTAAGGCTTTTCTTGATAAATGATTTAATAAGAGAGAGTATTCTGGATGGGAGTCATGCCCAGGGCGCAAATGGGAAATCTCACTGGGTCAAGCTGACCAGTAATGATATTACCTTCTCCATCCATTTTAATAAATGCACTTTGGATTTCTTTTGTAAAATACACAGTTTAACTTAAATGAAAACCATGAATGAGTCATGCATCATTTTTCTATTCCTGGCCTCAGTGCATTTGAGAAACAAGTTAATATATTTATAAACTTTATATGGCTATCAATTGGTTTAATAGTTTGTTTTCAGTGGAGATGTCTTCCATTTTCCCACTTGACAACTTTTTGTATCTGTTACAAGCTAGAATGCATATACCTGTGCTAATTTGACTTTGTATATGTGCTACAGCTACAATATGGGTGTGATTTCAACAAAGAAGAGCTTGGTGAAGTGTGAGAAACTATCCGTGAGTTCATTTTGCAGGTGTGGAAATAATCATTATTATGATTCAGTTTTTTTTTTAAATCAGAAATATGATTTTGGAGACCTGCTGCCCAATTCTATTATGGTCTATATGCATAAATAGGCTTCCTTGGCTGAGGAATGCATTGTGGAATGTCTGATCGAGAAACTTATGCCTACCAATGTTTTACGCCTTCCATGATTGTACTTGTTTTTCTCTAGAGGATAGTATTGTGAAATCTTCTTAACATTCCAAGCTTGATTAAAGAAGCCTACCTTGGCATGCGACATGGCTAACAGTTCTAGTTTAGAATCTAATACCTTTCATGTCAACTTGTAGATCTGCCATTTACCCTAAATTCCAGTGTAAAGGTCATCCTTCGTTGGTTCCATTGTTTTTCTTTTTTAAATGCCCATACTTATTCGATAATTCATTCTTTCCCCTTCTCGTTTCCAAAAATGCAGCGTTATAGTCTGCAGATTCCATTTTAATTCTGTAATTAAAAAAAAAATTGAAATACAGATGCTACGTGTGTCTATTATGTGATTTTCTTAATTTTATTTGTCTAGCTTAAGAATGTTTGAAGATATACTTCGATAAAAAAGGTGTTATCCTGAGGATCTCAAGTTCCTGTATTTTACCTGAGTTTTGGTTGCGGAGATCCTTGCAATCTTCTGTGAGATAAAGTTTTATTACTTTTGCTAATTTAATATGTTTAGGCATTTGAGGCTTTTAGATTATATAATTATATATTACTGTTTTTAATTATTCTTGTCATACTTGTTTTTGATTTCTGAGACATGAATTCTTCTCTTCTTCTAGCATGAACTGTTGTTGGACTAGATTTCCTTTACATGGCACTAACTGACACGAAGATGTTCTTGATGCCAGCTTCATTTTATTGTTTTTCCTAGGCCAAGTTTGAACCAGCAAGCAATTTTTTTTGCATATCTTATTTCCATAATTTCAAAATTTGTCCCACCCACTCTAGTAGTGCATATGATCAAAACTAGCCACCATTTTTCATGGTATAACCCAGCAAATTGCATTACATAGTTCAAAAATTTTACTGTATATGTTTTTTTCAGTTGCTTCTAATCCGTTTTGGCCAATTACTGATCCTAAATCTACCTTTTTTTTTGATTCATTAGCCTATTGGCTTCAGGGTGGAAATATCAACTGGAATTTTGGTCGACTTCCGATAGTTTTTTGACCCAGGCTTCACTTTTCAAAATGCTTATGTTTTTTTTCTTTTACATTTAAAAATGCTTGGCTTTTGATGTTATCAACAGTGTTAAACTTCAGTTGCAAAGTATGAGCTTGATGTTGTTGATATAGGCTTCATTTGGAACAGCTTTCTTACCGCTGCTTTTAGAAACAATAAAAAAGCCGTCTCAAACAAAGCCTTAGTGCTCTTTTGACAATAGTTTACATTGTCTAACAATAACCATTCCAGAAAAGCTGAATCTATTTAAGGTGTTAATTGGTTTCATTTACTTCATAAGAATCTCATTTTTTTTCCTGACAAATTATGATGCAGGCGCAGGTTGGCTACTGTTCTGACGTACAACAAGTTTGCAGAAAATCTCAAGGAGGCAGTGACGTACATTGAGCAGGGGCACATTCGAATTGGCCCTGATACAGTAACTGATCCAGCATATCTTGTGACGCGGAACATGGAGGATTTCATCACTTGGGTTGATTCATCTAAGATCAAGAGGAAGGTGATGGAATACAATGACGCATTGGATGATTATGATGCTCTTAATGCATAAATCTGTGTTCTCGCTTCCCATTTTTATTATTTGAGAGGTAAAGCATTGAGCTGTTTTTGACATCATCATCTTTAACAAAAAATGCTATGTTTTAGGTGTTATAAGGTTGGAATTGATCAATTTCTTCACATATGTCGTATGAAGAGTCAATTTAGTCATGTTTGGCTCAGCTGGTTTTGGTTACTTTTACATCCAAATAAAATGTATATTTGCATTTGTGCTAAATTAGTTTCTTCTTTTCATGTAAACTATAATGAGTTTGTTCAACTCTGATTTGAATAAAATTATAAACATTTTAAAATTTCATGATTTCTTTTTTAAAAAATTTAGCATATATAAGCAAAAAAATACTTAGATATTAAGTTAAACATTTTTAAAAAATATAAATAATATTAACCTATACTAATATATATAATTCTAATATTTTTGTAAGGTAATTATGCAATTGAGTATGACAGAATAATTTTTTTTAATCCCCATATCAAATTAAGGTCGTTATGTTTTTAGTTTTTAAAAAAAAGGAGCCAAAAAATATCTATTTAAATCAGGCTCATTTTTGAAATAAGAAAATCCAGTTGAGCTAAAATAGGATTAAAAAAAAAATATTATTTTGTTTTTTATATTTCAAAATATAATTAATTTAAAATTATTAAAATATATTATATAATGCCAATTTAAATTAATTATTAAATATATTTTAATTTAATCGAGTGTCTCAACGAGGTTTTGAGCCGAGCTAGGCTTGAGCTCGAGCTCGAGCTTGTTTAATATGTGAGCTCGAGTATAGGCTTGTGCTCGAACTTGTGGCTCGATAAGCTCGACTCGCGAGCTCGATTCGGCTCATGAGTCGGGTCAGCTCACTCACAGCCCTAAGTACTCCCGCTATCGATTGTATAAAAAAAAAATTTATGGTGCTGTACATGTTTTGAGTGTGCAGTTGTTGGCATATCTAAGTCAGAGGTTTCTTTGAAATGTTGGCAAACAATTAAATCTTGGATACACCTCAGATATCATGGGTTGTTGGTCTGTATTCTTCTGGCTTGAGGTGGTAGTATGTAGATAATCAACTAAGAAACAATGTTAGCTGGTCAATGACAAGTTTTTGATGGTCAATTTAATTGCAAGAGATAGAAAGTTTGAAATTAGCTACATTGGTAAGGGATCATTATATCATTTGGGTTATTTTTTCTTTGTTGCCTTTTCTTTTCTCATCTCTAGTTTGAAAAGTAGAGAATGATTTATATGTATAGAAATTATTTGATAAGAAGTCAATTTGGTGATGGTAGCTATATTGGCTTTTGTTAACTTGCTGAGAGGGAATTGGATCATGAAGTATGTAGATATTTTAGAACTTTGGTAGGTTATTTTTATTTGAGAATGATGTGAAGCAATATGATGACTTTGAGGAGCATGTAATGGTTGTCTATCAACATCAAGTTTCTACTTTCAAGATAGGGATGGATGTAATGTTCTATTAGGGTTGAGATTCTTGTAAAAAAAAAGTTGATAATCAACATGCATTTTATGCAAATGTCTAAATTAATTGAATGTGGATTTGGATTGTGTGTGTGCGTGCGTGGGCATGGCTGGGCGTGGGTGGGCGTGCGTGTGTGCTGGTGCATGCGTGTGCATGTGTGTGTGCGTGAAAAAAGAAAGTTATTGTCTAATGGCATCACCATCATCCTGATAATCATTAGAGCAGACCACACATATTAATTGCAAGACAAAAATCTTAATTTTTCATCGCGTGCCTCGAGTGGATGTTATTCACTATGAAATTCAATGTCTTTGATTATTATACTTCTTAAACTCTTTAATTTCTTGCAGCTTTGTTTGGGGTATCTTTCTTATTGGTTTATAGAACAAAATTTTAATTAAAAAAATTTCAGTTAAAAAGAAAAATTAAAAATTACTTTAGTAAGCAATAAGAAAGTTGTCCCAAATGAAGCCTGAGTCACTTATCCTTAAAAGCTTTGCCTATTAAAGAGAAAAAATTAATTTTCTTGATAAATTTTATAGATGTTATTTTTTTTAGATATAAAGGAGGAAGAAATTAACATTATTACTATTGATTCCATCAATTTGACACATAATTTTGATATTTAATCATGAAAAATAAGTCCTCTCATTCTCAATATCCTATTAGTAATTGATTCTCTTCTCATTAGTCATTCAATTTAACGCAACTTGTTGAAGATGCAACATCACTTAATGACGTTGATGTTCCATGGCTGATTGATAGTACAATACCACTTATTATTATTATTATTGATATTGAACTTAAGCTACCAATTATTGTAGCCATGTAGAGGGACCTCTACAACTACAACTTGTTATTTGTTAATTATTTTAATGAGTAATTGATGTTGTTGACTTTATTCAAAGCAAGGTCGTAAAAACCGATCAGACATTGAACCGAAAGAAGGAGAGATTAATGTTCAATTGGTCGAACCGGGGTCGAACTGGTTGACATATTAAATAATAATACTATAAAAATTAATAAAATTATAAGGTTCACCACCGCAACCATTTAACATCCTACGACTCTTATGAATTTCATTGAAACTTATTACCTTCACTCTAAATTCTATTTTCATATTAAAGCTCCTAAATGTTTCCAAAATAATACATTTACATTTCTTCTAATTGCATAGTTTCGTATTAGGTGGGCATAAATTATGTCTATAAAAATATAAATAAATAACACATAACATAAATTTGACATCAATTCAGTCTATACAACATAAACAAATATTTTACAAATAAGTTAAGTAAATGGAGAGTAAACGTAATACCAACAACAACACCAAACAACAAACCATGTGGCTCCAGGTTCTCGCATGAGGTGGTCTGGCCGACTCGTGGCTCCCGATTCCCGCACATGATGACCAAACGATATTGCATTGGGGGAGGAATGAATATCTATTGTCAAGCCTTTATTATGCGTTGGGAAATACATATCATCTTCAATTCTCTTTCTCCCTTGTATGCAATACCAAAGAGACATAAATAATTGTCTTCTTGTTCAAATTAGATTAAACTATATTATCTATTGATAAGAAAAATCATATCACCAAATCAATATGCCTTCAATCTCCCGTGAATCGTTTACAAAAAATAATAAATGAGGGCTTACCGGTTTTGGGTCGTGCGTCGAGCGGGGAGAAAGGATTGGAAGAGTGGAATACTAAATGAGTTCCTGGTTCAACCATTTAAACTGGCCAGTCCGATTTTTATAACCTTGATTCAAAGATGTTATCTTTTATACTAACATTGTCATGCTTTCCTTTATCGTAGCTTGGGCAAATATAAGTGACCACCATCATTGGTACCCATAATTTTGTAATCATCATTTTAAATAACCTAGTGTGAATATTATATAGACATTCATTTTGTGATGTCCCAAAATCTAATTTGAAAGAATTATTATTATTTTTCTTTTAATTTACACAATCATAGTTGCTTAATTTCTTTTATCAATATAAATACCAGTAGAAATAAAATTATCGATCAAAACATCAATATAATCAAATGTTTTTTTTTTCTTAAAAATTATTTACACTATTCAAGATCTATACAATTATAATATAACTATCCTGCCATGAGTATTGATACGTCGTTAAAAAATTATCTTAATTGGGCGCAAATCTCGATGCAAAATTAAATTGGAAACTTCAAAAATTAATTCGGAGACCATCCCAACTCCGATTTCAGCAAACTTATAGTCGAACTGAGCGTCTCAGAAATACAAACTCAACGACACCAAATTCAACTAGATCCGAGCCCAAATGGGTCCGAATCATGGACCCGAAGCACTGTTGGAAGGTTCAAACCGCAATTTGAGATTCCAAACGGTTTCCAATTTTAACGAGCTTATACTCGAATCGAACGGCTCGACGAGAAGAATCCAACGAGCCTAAGATTGCCGAACTCCAACATCTCTAAGACCTTCAAATGTCCAACGAACGGTGCATAATCGTAGGATTCGATATCGGTCGTCCATTCAACCAACCCCTATTCGCCCTTGATCTCACGCCTATTTACGAGCTATGCCACTCCATAAAATCTATAAATAGAGCCCTCATTCTTCACAAGGGAGGAGCGAAGCAAGAAGGGAAGAGAAGAAGAGAAGAGGAGAAGAGAAGGAAGAAGCTCCTCCTCGACCACCGACGGAACCTCGCCGGACCACCACAGGAGCTCGGCGGACCACCGCTGGAACCTCGCTGGACCACCACCGGAGCTCGCCGGATCACAGCCGTAACCTCACCGGACCACCATCGGAGTTTGCCGGACCACCGCCGGAACCTCGCCGGACCACCACCGGAGCTTGCCGGACCACCGCCGGAGCTTCGTTGCACCACCACCTCAAGGCCCCACGTTCAGGCCCGACATTCTGCTTAAGTCCCGACGTTCTGCTGAAGGCCCAACATTTTTCTCAAGTCCCGACATTTTGCTGAAGGCCCAACGTTCTGCTCAATGCTCGACGTTCTGCTGAAGGCCCAACGTTCTGCTTAATGCCGACGTTCTGCTGAAGGCCCAACGTTCTGCTGAAGGCCCGACATTCTGCTGAAGGCCCAACGTTCTGCTCAAGGCCCGACGTTCAAGCCCAACGTTCTGCTCAAGGCCTGACGTTCTGCTTAAGGCCAGACTACCAACTAATACTCAAACTTCCAGGTGACGCCAGGGTACTATCAAGTGACACTGGGTCTAACACCAGACTTCTATTGAATAGTTGTTAATTGTAATATGGTCGCCCTTGGAGGCGTGTCAGTCCTTTATAATCGACTCAAATTCTAGTGGAATCATTTTAAACTAGGCTAGGCCTCGTGGTTTTTCCCCTTTTAAGGATTTTCCACGTAAAAAGTCTTATTTTCTTTGTGTGTGTGTGCTGGATATCCGTGCAAAGCTAAGACGTATAGTTAAAACTCTATCGCCGCATATATTTAAGCCCGCAACAGTTTGGCGCCGTCTGTGGGAACCTGGTTCCCGACTGGAGGGCAAATTTTTGCTCCAACCTCAAAATATCGTTCATGTGAACTTCCTAACATCAGCTATTGCTATATCAATTTCTTGGGATTCAGATCCGGACTGGGGGCAACCTTGACTCTAATTATGATTAAGAAGATCCCTCCAATATTTTCAATATCAAGATGATATTTTATAAAAATCCCAGCAAATGCAAGAGAACTTTCAAAGATTTTCCACGGAAGCCCAACAAATTCCAGGGGTAGATCCTGAGTTACTTAGA